CAAATGGCAGAGTGGCTGGCTCCCAAGCCCCAGAGGCCTGGAATGGGTGTTCCCCTGTAAGGATCTCCAGAAGAGGTCAGGGTGCAGCCCAAAAGGCCAAAAGCAAAGGCTGCAATCCCAGCATGGTTCCTGGGAGAAGCCCACAAAACCCACACCCCTACCTCCACTGCTTGTCATATGCACAGAGCCACAGCCTCCAGGTGAACACTGCCCATGCTATGAGGCTGGGGGACCCAGAAATACTCAGAGTCAGGCAGGCAGTGAAGACCCATGGGTTTCCCCCTCCCTCCCACTGAAGCTTGCCTGTTGGGCATGCCCTCAGCCCCTCTGCTCCAAATCTTCTCCAGCAACCCTCCCTGGCACTCTCCTACGAAAGGGCGAAGTCCTAGCTGCCTCAGGATGAGCCTTGTCTGGCACTCAGTGCCTCCACCCTCCTAGAGTCCCAAGTAATTTATCTGACTACTTTAACAGGGCACGGAGTTTCCCAACACGGTCAGTTTCCTCAGCTCCCTTGGCAGCCCATGCACATGAAGACCATGTGAAGCCAGGTGGTAGAATCCACACACTTTTCACAGACTCCAGCTCTGCACCCCATGGAGGCAACTGGCCCGTGGTCACAGAAAGGTATAGCCCAAGGTCAGCCCCTTTCCTCACCAATCAGACGGCTTCAGAGGCAGGGGCTCTCCTGGCCACAGTCAGCATCTGTTGGTCCTTTTGTACAACCTCCAGGGACAAACTTTTGGGGCTCATCAGCATCTGGAGCCAGCAGAGATTACCTGCCGGTCCTGCCCCTCAGGCCAGTGGGGCCCTTGAGCCCCTAACAACTCAGCTGCAACCTCCAGGTCAGGGAGCTGACCCACCCTGCCCAAGGCCAGCAGGGGAAGCTGGCAGAGACCGAGAAGACCTCATGTCCACGGCTAAGGCAAACTCAGTATGCTGGCCCAGGGTGTCACCTGCCCACTGGAGAAACTGGCCTGTCTGTGAGCCCCGTACACCCCAGGCTGTTGGCAGGTGACAGCTGGATGCTGGGCTGCCTGGCTGTGTAAGCTGCTTGCCTGCCCAGATCCAGGAACCAGCCCCTCCCAAGCTCCCTGAGGAGCCCTCCCTTGCACGGAACATGCTCAGAGCTTTGTGTCTGGGTACTCGACCCCACCAGCTCACAGTCCCCGTGTACTTGCCTCCAGGTCTTGGCACAATTCCAGCTAGTCCACCTGACCAAAGGTCAAGCCAGGCAGATATCTCAGAGAACAGGTACTTGGGGTAGGGCTGGCCTGAGGGGGATAATCCACGAAGGGCTGGGGTTAGGGAAGGGAAACAAGGCAAGACTCTTGGGGTGATGAGCTTTGGGCTCCTTTCTAATAAGTCAGGATTTCAAGCTGCTGCTGGATACACCAGAGTTCCCTCCATGCACCCTCATGTTCCCCTCCTCACATGCCCACCTTCCTCTTCCCACCTTCCCCCAGCTGCCAGAAGCCAGCTTGTAACAAAAGAACTGGAATATTGAGTTTCAGCTTTTGCCCAGGACTGGCAGGGGACCAGGAGCCCACTTGGCAGGGTAGGGAACTACATAAATGGAGGATTGAAGCTTTGCCCACCTGTACAGCCAGCTGGGAAGACAAGCCACTCCCTCAGGGGTTTGCTTGTGGAGGCTTAAATGACATCCTGTGTGCGAAGCCTGGGGTTCATATAGGTGCACATAATCTGCATGGGACAGCATAGAGAGTTTGAGAGGATACACACCAACCAAACCATGTGAAATATCTCTGTGGAGGCACCTGACATTTGGGGTACAAGGGACTGTTAGCTATGCTTGCAATGTTTGTCTTTTTGGGGAGAATGTGTTCATGCACAAGTTGTGTAATTAAATATTTTTAAGATGCAATGTGTATGACATAGAGTAGGTGTGCCGTAGGAAGCAATGAATAGAATTGACTGCCTTTGGTGGGGAAGGGTTTCCAACAGAAGGCACACCCTAAAGGCCAGGAGGGAAAGACCAGGACTAGAAACACTCCTTGGGGACCCTAATCTGAGGCCATTCTGCCAGTCCTTTGCTTGTGCCAGAAGACAATGCAGGCTACCTTGTGCACTCAAGAAGCTACTGATCCAGTGGAGGACTGACTGTGTACCCCTCTAATAGTAAGCCTGGGCAGCCCCTGGGAAGCTTCACAGACTAAAGATAAACCGCATGCCAGGAGAATCCCCTCCCCAACCTCCAAGTAAGAATGAGTTCTTTCTCTCCGTCATTCACCCACAGCATCCTGTTTCTCCATGGGGAAGTTCATGGCTTGCTGGGGGAAGGGCTGGGGGAAAGGTGGAGTGTTTGGGCAAGGCAAGGACAGCTTGGCAGAGAAATGCAATCAGATGGGCAAATGCTCCAGGTGGGTCAGAGCCAGAGGGCCAGGAAGGAGATGCCAACTTGCCTCCTGGCACTCCGGCCCCTGAGCCTCCCTGGATCTCTCCCAGGGGCTTGGGAATCACAGATGTGCCACCCACCACAATATGGTCCCCATACCCCTTAAGGAACATTACAGAGGGACCCAGCCTGGGCAGCTCCGACTCCAGTTCCTCTCAGGAACTTCCTGAAGTCTTCTAGGTGGGGCAGGGAGTTCTAGAGATAGAGCAGGAATGCACAGCTAGGAACTGGCCCCAGCCCTGCTGGGAACCAGCCAAGTAGTCACACAGCAAGGCAGGGTGGAGGCCCAGCCAGGGGTTCCTTACGAGCTCACCTGGCTCCGGAGATGTTCCTCCGGGGCACTGCCATGCTGTTTGTTTGCAACTCAGCTAATTTATTCCCAAGGGTGAACCTTTGTTTCACAACATATTTTCAGCCAGTCTTTTTCGGCAAACATGTCCATGTGTGCACAGGCTCACGAACACTCAGGTCTCAAGGGTAGACCCAGCCCCACCTGGCTGCAGCCTCCTCTTCCTGTGAGCTTCCCTGTAAAGCCTGACTGGGTAGGAGAAAGAGGCACCCCAGGGTAGACAGTGTGAGGGCTGGCCTCGTGGCAGTGGGAACACTGGGCTGATGGCAAGAAGTTGCATGTGTTGTCCTTGCTCTGTCTCCCTGCTTCCCTTAATACTCCTCTGCATCTTGGGCCTTGGTCTGTCCTGAGGCTGCAGGAAGGGGAAGGTATGCCCACAAGGAGGTCCCCTAGTCTTCCGTCTAGCCCACGGGTGACTCCTGGGGCTCCAGGGCCCATTTGTGGGGGACAGGGAACACCCCTGGTACTCCCTGATCCTCTTGGCTGTCTCGGCCGTAAGTGTTCATAGCTGGGTGCTGCTGTTTCCCCACTCTGCAGAGGGGCTTCCAGTGGCACTTGATTACCTCTGTGTGCTCTGGGACCAAAGAGAATCTCCAAACTGTTTCTTTCCTAGGTGTCCTTTCTCTGCTTTGAGCAGGGCCCAGGCTCCAGGGGCCACGTGACTGGTGTCCCACAGGGCTGACAGGAGGCCCTGCATCCTCATCTTAGAAGTATTACAAGTCTCAGAGTGTCAGGCGTGGAAGAATCCCCTCAGTGTATAAGAGCCCACTGAAAACCAGAGAAAGAGGTGATACTCAAGCTTCTCCCTCTCCCTCTCCCCATCCCCTAACTTCCCTCCCTCTGCTGTTCTGTATCTCTCTGACTGTCTCTCTCTCTCTCTGCCTCCCCCTCCTTCCCTCCTTCCTTCTCTCCCCACCCCACTTCTCTCTCTGTCTCTTCTCTATTTCAGACACACACACACACACACACACACACACACACACACACACAGACATGTTCATTCCATACCTAGTGATTAACACACTCCCCCATCTTTATAGATGGAGAATCCTTGACAGATTTGGTGGATTAGGGAAAGTGCACTTAGCAACTAAAGCCACTGAGAAAGTTCTGGGTCTCCACCCCCAGAGACATTTGTGTCAGTCCCTTGGTCCCAGGAAAGGGATTGCAGCTGTTCCGCAGGCCTCCTACTGCCAGGCACATGTGCACTGTGGTCAGGCCCCCACATGGCAGGCAACACTCTGCACCTCTCAGGCTCAGTCCCACTGGACGACTCAGCTATCTACCCTGCCTGAGGTGAGCTTCAAGGACTGTGGACACAGTGTGTGTGGTGGATAGAGTGGTGGGTATGTGTAGCTCCCATTCAGACTCCAAAGCTAAGGCAGGACCTCGTCTCCAGTGAGTCTGTCTGCAGGAGGCTGGCCAAGCACTAGCGTAGGACTCAGTAGAACTCACACCACAACTCACACCCAGGCCCTGTCTCACTGGATGATCCAGGGCCATGTTTCCCCTCTCTGGATTTCAATTTTGTCCTGGGCAAATGAGAAGATTTCTGGTCCCTTTCGGGAGAGTTCCTCTGATTGCATTCCTGCAACACAACCCAGACATGCTCCCAGAACCACACCCCCACAAGCACTCATTGGCATGAGCCCAACAGGAAGAATTTTGCAAAGCTGGGGCTAGGGACAGTGAGGCTGGAGAGGTGAAAGGGAGGAGGGAACCAGGGCTCCTGCGGCAACTGCAGAGGCTGAGTCCCAGCCACAGGGCCTTTGTGAAGAGGAGCTGTTCCCCAGGGCACTCTGCTCCCACTGTTGCCCCAGATGAGTACCGGACACAGAAACCTCAGCCACAAGGTTTTGCTGCTATAGCTGAACTTTTATTGAGTGTGCAGAGCCTTGTGCGAGAGGTGGAAGCAAACAAGAGAGGAAAGCGAAGCCATGCCTCTGCCCACAGAGGATGGAACAGAGGGCCGCTGGGGTCACGTGTTACTGTGGGGCCCGGATGCCTCCATGCTTTTCATCCTTCAAAGGGTGTCATCTCAGCTCACACAGTCCTCCTCCACTTTGCAGCAGCCAGGACCTCCCAAAGCTGTGACCTGGCCTCCCCAGGCAGGGGGCCTAACCAGACTTGAAAAATGGCCCTGATGCTGCCTGGGGGATGAGCAAGGGTGGCCAGGGAAGAGGAAAGAAAGAAGGAGAAGCAGGGAGGGCTCCAATGCGTAGGCCTAGCTTGCTGCGATCACTGGTGCATCCATAGCCACAGGTTGGCAATGCTGGCTGACACCAGCAAGGCGAAGATCAGGGTCTCCCTCTGACGCCAGGTGGCATCCTGCTCCTCCAGGGCACGCAGACGCCCACTGACTGCACACAGCTGCAGAGGAGCCAAAGGCATGGCTGCTGAGCAAGGCTCTTCTCCCGAAGCCCATAGCACAGCCACGGGAAAAGTATAAAGTTAGAGCAAGAAAGGGCTTGGCTGCCCTTTGGCGGTGGGGCAGGGAGCACCCCTAGTAAGAAGCAGGGGCCTGGGCCTGGCCCATGGGATGCAAGATCTGGCTGCTGCATCTGCAGGCAACACTTTTGCCTTCTCCCCTGATGTTCACTTCCATTCTCTCAAAGAGGCGGCCCATTGCAACCAGGGAGCCAAGGAAGGAAGGGTCTCCTCCTGAGAAGGTCTGGGTTTTGTTCGAACAAAGGCGACCCCTCTCTCAGACCCTTGGGCACCACTCTGTCCCTGGACATAGAACCCTTATCCTTGTATGTTCCCTCTTCCTCCACCTTTTCTCTGTCCCTACTCTCTGCCAGCATCTCAGGGACAGCAGTAGGTTTGAGATTGGACATTTACGTGGGGTGTCAGAGCCATGGAGCTGGGGAGAAAGAGGAAGGGAACCTGCCCCACCTCCAGCGCTAAAGGGAAAGATGACTGTAAGAGACTACAGGACCCCAGCTGTCAAGCCCTGCCAACTCCAAGGCACCGTGATTCTCCCTGCACCCACCAATTGGGTCCCTCCTCACCTGTTTTTTGATGATTTCCATCTCCAGTCCATTGAACTCTTCCAGGCCAGTCTCCGCCACTGTACCTGTCTCTGGGTTGCTGGGAGAGAAAAAAGACAGAGGGTCAGAGGTGCTGGTGGTCCCTGGCAAGGCCTGGCAGGGAGCACAAGAAGGCAGTGAGGGCAAGCAGGTAATATCAGGATCTTTTGGACAAAGACCCTATCAGCCTCCAGTCCTCTTCCATGGTAAAGAGGGCCTATGGCCTTGAGGGCTGGGAGTCACCCTGAGATAGCCTGAGCCAGCCTGACGCAACCCAGTTCAGCCCAGCTCAGCTGGGCTGCAGAGCACTGGGATGCCCCAAATGGGCTTGGAGCCAGGGTGCTCAAGTTCTCTGGCCAGGAGGCACTCCAGGCCCTCAGAACTCCTTCCTGGCCAGGCTGCTCACCAGCCCTTCTGCCTCATTCAGGGACCTGTCTGAGTAGCCAGGCCCCACAGACCCCCAGCTCTTACCGATCATGGTGAAATCGTGTGCCTTGGAAACTACCAGGACACTCCTGGAAATGGGCGTCCCCATGGCCTGATTCTCTCAGCATTCTGGGCATTGGCAGCTGGGTCCCCTGAAGAAAGGATTGATCAGTAAGGTAGCCTGCCCAGCCCCACATGAGTGGCTTCTCCAGTTTGCCCAGAACCAGTGGTTCACCCCATGGGGAGTCATGTGGTGCCTGACCTCTGGAAGCAATGGCTGGAAGCTTCAAGACATTAGGAAAGCTTGGGAACCCCACGCATTGGCTGCTGGCTGCCATCCCACCTGCACCGTGGTCCTCAGTAATGCTCACCCAGGCAGGTTGTGGCAAAAGAAAAGCAGTAACAGGGGTCCCTGTCCTCTGCAAGAACTTTCACATGCAGACATTAGCTGAGAGGCTGAGAAACCTACTGAAGGAGAACGTAAAACCTCAATTGCCAGCCCAGGCCATTGAGGCCTGGCTAGATGCCTTTACTTCCCGAGGATGTCAGGGCTAAGGCTAGAACCCTGGCTACTGGGAAACCATCAACTGCTCTGGGGAAGGCCAGCCATCCTTGCGGCTTTCATTTTTATCTATCTGCCAATGACACCCTAGCTTGTACATCTATGGCCTAGAGGCCTTGGGCCAGGGCTATCTGATGCCTTTGAAAAGTCAGTAGGGGATAGAAGAACAGAGAGTGGTTTTCGGTGCCACACCTGCCTGGGCTCAAGTCATACTTTTAGGTTTCCAGTTCAAGATGAAATATTTCACAAGCTGCCTATTTAACACACACCACATGCCAGGGACCATGCTATCCTCTAAGTCCTTACCAATACAAGTGATTGATTCCTCATCACAATCCTGTGAAATGATATCATTATCATCCCATTTTGAAAGTAGGTGAAAATGAAACACAGAGAGATTAATTAACTTGTCCAAGACACACAGCTAGTAAGTAGCAGAGCAGTAATTTGAACCCAGGACATTTTAGTCCAGAGGTTATACTCTTAACCATCACAGTACGATGTCTCTTATATATAACACTCCTTCCTGTTAAGTCTACATTAAGTGCCAGTGAAGACAGAAAAACAGTATAAACCTATAAGAAAGAAGAAGACAACATGAGAGGCCTTAGCCAATGAAAGAATGCCATAAAATTGTGGAATTCAAGAAGTGTCCATGGAGAAATCAGGCCTCAGTGTGGATGGGAAGTAGATGGGGCTCAGCTGACAAGGGGAACCCCAGCCAGCAGCATCCAGAGAGGAACTAGACCTGCAAGGACAATGGCAGGATACCACAAGAACGGAGGGAAGGGCGGAAAATAGGAACTTTAACCAAAGATCTGTGTATGAAGCAATCATCCATACTTCTTACCTCTGGCTGGCAGCCAGGCACTTACCCCATGCCAAAACCTGAACCAAATGAATAAGAAAGCTGGGGTGAACATAACACAAAATAAAACCCTCTTCATTCTGGCAGGGTTCAGGGTGACCCACATGACAGCAAGTTCCTTACCCACTTATCCTGCTGAAGTGGAACCTGCCCTTTGAGAGGCCTGACTGAGGCACACGGAGTCCTGGGTTAGCCCTTCCAATTGCCTCATTCTTCCAAAAAAAAAAAAAAAATAGACAACCGAGGCTCACCGGTCACTGAGAAAGATCTGCAGCCCTTCTCTGTTCTGAACTAACAACATCAAACTGAAGGCAGATCAATTTCTGTGTGAAGGATTTTCATAGGAACTTTGTCACTACACTCTGTCTGTTGCAGTAACACCAAATTAATCTTTCTCCAGAGGAGCACACAGATATTGGTGGAACTTTTTTATGAACAGTAGTTCACCATCACAATATTTTATTTTCTTAAGATACTTCAAAAATAACATCAAAAATATAATGGGTATTAGGGAGACCCCATGACTATAATCACTTGACTTTCCTAAAAATTGGAATCAGAAGGATAAAGAATATATTTGAGAGATTTGAAGGCAAAAAATAAAAAAATAAGGATGGATGGATTTTCTTTGTTTGTTTCTCTGTTAATCATTTCAAAAAATGTTACTTTTATTTCCATGTAACTTTAAAGGCACACTACTTTTTTCTGACTCAACAGGATAGCATTTTTAACTTTTCTCGCCTTTGCATATTATGGTTCTCCTAGAGGCAGTTCCATTAACTGTTTTATTCAAAAATAAAGGAATAAATAAATAAATAGAATTAATAAATTAGATTTTCTAATTCTAAATTTCTAAACTGAGTTTCTAAATTCAATATAAGTGTATATTTTCAAACAGTCTACCCCTAGCCCTCATAACCAGCTTTAATTAAACCAGAGATGATATCCCCCCTAGTCTCAGACATGAGTAGCTTGCAGGAGCCTGACCTCCTGGAGCAACTTGACTTGGCTTCTGTCTTTGGACACATGAAGCCAACTCAACATCTGACTTATTTTTGTTCCCAGGAAATCTGTAAACCTGGAAGGTTTTTTTCTCAATCTTCCCTGGGGCCATCCAACAAATCATTTCAGCAATTAAGTCTCCCTCCCTCTCCAACCTTGTTGCCCTTTCCCAGTAACTTCCAAACTTTACTGTGGTAACAGTAAAAACCACCATTTTCTAAAATTTTCTTAATTTTCTTAATTTTCCCTCATCCACATGAATGTGAAAAGCATTGGCTACAGAATGATGGGATTCGTGATTCCCTAAAACAGTCAAGTCTCCCTTCTCTCCAAAATAAATGCCTTTTTCAGTATCCTTTGCAACAATGTAGCCAGCATCCTTCTAGAACATTCAACATCCACAGTGAATGTAGCTTAAAGAATCGGCCACAGAACCGTGGGACTCACATGATTTCCTGAAGCAGTCAGTCCTCCCTCCCTCTCCAATCCTTTTGCCTTTTCCCAGCAGCCTTTGCAACAGCATAACAATTTTTCTAAAACTTTCCCTTACCCACAGTGAATGTAGCTAAAAGGATTGGCTACAGAATTGTGGGACTCACCTAATTCTCCAGAAGAGTCAGAATTCCCTCTCCCTCCAAAATGATTGTTTTCTTAATATCATTTGCAGCAGTATAACCACTATTTGGTCTAGAATATTTCTTCACCCATATTGAATGTAGCTTAAAAGCATTGGCTACAAAATGGTCAGATTCACTTCAGTGGATTTCTTCCTTTCTTCCTTCCTTCTTTCCTTTCTCTCCTCTCTCTCTCTCTCTTTCTTTCTTTTGACAGAGTCTCGCTCTGTTGCCCAGGCTGGAGTGCAGTGGCGTGATCTTAGCTCACTGCAACCTCTGCCTCCTGGGTTCAAGTGATTCTCATGTCTCAGCCTCCTGAGTAGCTGGGATTATAGGCATGTGCCAACACAGCCAGCTAATTTTTGTATTTTCAATAGAGAGGGTTTCACCATACTGGCCAGACTGGTCTCGAACTCCTGGCCTCAAGTGATCTGCCCGCCTCCTCCTCTCAGAGTGCTGGGATTACAGGCATGAGCCACCATGCAGGCCACTTGACTGGATTTCTTTTCTTTTCTTTTCTTTTCTTTTTTTTTTTTTTGAGACGGAGTTTCACTCTTGTTACCCAGCCTGGAGTGCAATGGTGCGATCTCGGCTCACTGCAACCTCCGCCTCCTGGGTTCAGGCAATTCTCCTGCCTCAGCCTCCTGAGTAGCTGGGATGACGGGCACACGCCACCATGTCCAACTAATTTTTTGTATTTTTAGTAGAGACGGGGTTTCACCATGTTGACCAGGATGGTCTCGATCTCTTGACCTCGTGATCCACCCGCCTTGGCCTCCCAAAGTGCTGCTGGGATTACAGGCATGAGCCACCGCGCCCAGCCTGGATTTCTTAACAGCCAGAAAGCATAAGAGCCTCACCTGACTTATTGTGTGTATACACACACGTACCACACACATATTTTTAAATACAGGAAAGCATTATTTCACACAATAGATTTATAAAGTAAAGTATTTATGTACTCCCCAAGTAATATTTGTTTCAGGAATTCCGAACTCCCAAGGTTGAACCTCTAGTATGGGAAAGGATGACCATGACCTTTAACTGGACCTTCCTTACATCATTTGCCAGCTTGGAGCACAGGAGCTTCCTCTTCCTCTCAAGTCAATGTCTAGCCCTGACTGACCTGGTGAGGCTAGAGCCCCTACAAACAGTACTCCCAACCCCAACCTGGCCACCACATGCTGAGGACCCCATACAGTACCATTTTCTTGGGCCGGGTGGCAGTCATATTCCAAACTGGTTTGGCTGCAGCAGAGCCAGCAGCTTTTGGTTCCAACTTCTGCCTCTTCAGGGGGACACCCAGGGGCCGAGATCCATGCTCCATCACTTCTAGAGAGAAGAACAGAGGCCCCAGGAGCACCGATAGAAGTTATACCAGGGCTTCTTGGACACAAAACACACCAAAAAAGAAGACAGAGTCCCAGCCTTCTTGGGAATCACTCAACACCCATCCAACACTATCCACCAGCTGATCCCAGGCCTCAGTTTGTTCATCTGTTCAAAAGTTAATCAAGCATTTCCTGAAGGCTGAGCTAGAGACTAGGTTACTCTCTCTCTAGTCACTTAGAAAGCAATGATCAAGAACAAGATTCCAGCTCTCAAATAACTGACCATCTGTTTGTGTATAAGGGGAATGGCAGATGTAAAGCAGAAAGTAATCTATCCTCACAAATGCAGACAGAGAGATACAGGCTCCATAAACGATCAAAACATGGTAACATAGTAGAAGGAAAGGGCTCCCTCTAAAAAGCAGGAGACAACAATTGAGGCAGGGACCTGAAAGAAATAAAGGACCCAGCCCTGGGAAATTGGGAGAAAGCACATTCCAGACAGAAGAAACAGAAAATGCAAGGTCTTTGGGGAAGAAGCAGGCTTGGAGCATTGTAATAACAAACATAAATGCAGTGTGATCTTGGCCCTTTTGTGAGCTATAGAAATGATATTATCTGTCTATATCATAGCATGAAATGTTTTGAAGAGGCTGATACTATCTTATAGATCATGGAGTCTGGACTTTCCTCCAAAGGTCAGGGAAATGAATTAGAGCATTGGGAGAGAGAACTGATCTCTGGTCTTGTAATTTGAGCTCTCTGAGTATTTTGCAGCAGACACTGTGGTGGCTTGGACAAGGGGGAGACAGTGGGAAAAATGCTCCCTTTTCCCCTACCTCCCTTATCATCAACCCACAAATCCTCAAAGCCCCCAACACACACATGTGCAAACACTTCCTTGCACACATGCATCTTTTCCAACATACACATACACAGGTATAAACACGTATCTACACAGTTAGCTGTAGCCAAGGCGTATTTTAGGGGATCCTCACCTGCTATCACCAGGTGCTCTTGGTTTTGCCCTTGGCTTCCATGATTCAGTTCTTCAGCCAGGGACGTTTCCATCTCCTCCCTGGTGCTGGTAGGGCCCCCTGCCATCACAACCAGCTGTTTACTTGTAAGCAATGGCTAAAAATGTGCAGGGTGCCAGAAACAGAGAAGTCACTCAGAAAATCACCTCTTCCAGGGACGGGAGCTCAAGGAAGATATAGTAGGACTTGAGGGTGGAGCGACACTCCCTCTCTAGGCTGAGGCCTTCGACTCAGTACCTTCTGTTCCCATTGTATCTAATTGGCTGGGTCCATGGTGTTCTCCCCTGTTACTCTGTAAGCAACTTAGGAAAAGAGATACAACTCCAAGCCTTTGCCTGTGAGAACTGCTCTGGCTCATGGATCTCCAGATTTAGCTCATGGGGGATCCCGCCAGCATTTCTAGGCAGAGGCAAGGATTGGCACAGGGTCCACGAGCCAGGCAGTGGCCACAGCAGAGTTAGGTCCCAGCAACCTAGGCCATGCCATGCCTTCAAAAGGGATTCTCTGGAGAGCATATCCTACCTCCTATATCCAGAGTCCCCAAAAACAGGAGGTAGGCATTTTCTGAAGTAGGTCAGCCTAGGCAAGAGCCATGAGAATCAAAGGAGGGAAGGGTAAGAGAGGTGGGACCTGATGCAGCCACTAGAACCTCCAGGGGTCTCAGGCCCTGCACCTTCTAAGTTCCAATCCTCCCTCAGCTTCCCTACTGACTTAACCACTGTGATGATCAGGTTTATGAGTCACCTGGGCCAGGCACTAGTCCCTGGTGATTCCATCAAACACTGTCTAGGTGTTGCTGATGAGACATTTTGTAGCTGTGATTGGCATCTGCAACCAGTGGACTTGAAATAAAGTAGAAACTCATCCTCGATGATGTGGGTGGGTCTCACACAATCAACTGAGAGGCCTGAAGAGCAAAGACTGAGGTTTCCCAAAGAAGAGGCAATTCAACCCCAAGACTGCAGGGTCAACTTCTGCCTGAGTCTCCAGCCTGCTGGCCTATCCTGTACATTTCAGACTTGTGAGCCCCACAGTCGCATAAGCCAATTTCTTAAAAGAAATTTCTATATATTTGTGCATATACAGATACATACATACATACATATATCCTATCATTTCTGTTTCTCTGGAAAACCCTGATTGCTGCAACTACCAATGGTGAACGCTTCCTTCTAGGAAACAACCCCTGAGACCCTGGGGGAAGAGGAGGCTATTTCTAAAAGGAACCAGAACAGGTTTGTAAAAGGTTCCTTTTACAAATAGCCTCCTCTTCCCCCAGAGTCCCTGGGCCAAGTGGGAGGAAAAAAGGAGGAAAGAGGGAGGGAGGAAGGAAGGAAGGGAGATAGGAAGGAAGGGAGGGAGGGAGGGGAACAGAAAGGAAGGGGCCAGGACTAGCTGAGATAGGGCTGCACGGTCTGAGACTGACTGCACCCTGCCCCCATCTCACCTGTCCAGTGCTGGGGCCGAGCTCTTGGGAAGCAGAGCTGATATAGTTCCTGCCTGCATTCCAGGGGGCCCAAAGAAGCCCTTCCCAGCTCCAGTGGAGCAGTTGCGATGAAATTTGAGCTTTCTGGAGGGCCACCTTGGAAGCAGAGAAACTGCAGAGAGTGCTCAGCTCAGTGGGATTCAGGAGCCTGGGAAGCCCAGCCAAGGTTGCCATATTGAGCAAATGAAAGTACAGGTGCCAAGTACATTTAAATTTCAGGTAAACAGCGCATCATTTTTAGTGTAAGTATGCTCTCTTGTACACTAACCTTTGGGGCATATTTACACTAAAAAATGATTCATGGGTTGATCTGACATTAAAATTTAGCTGCATATCCATCTGACAATTCTATCTCACTATCACCTCAAGGTTTTACCTTTTGCAAGTCTCTCCCTTCTTTGGGTCTCAGTCTTCCCCATGGACAATGGGGCTAACAATCCCCTCCCTACAGGGTGGCTGGATGGTGAGGAGTACTGAGAAGTCAGCAAAGTTAGAGAAGTGTGGGCCCTGGCTTGCCACAGGGCCTTGGGCTATGGAGGCCAGATTTCTGTCTAGCTGCCAACTGGCCTTGGCCTGGTGGGGCTTCTTGGGCACAGGGGCACAGGGGCACAGGGCACAGGCTCATGTGGAGGCACTGCCCCCTGGTGGCATAGGAATCCACCACCTAAAGCCAAGCAAAAAGGATGGGAGACTTCCTTCCCAATCCCCGAACCTCCAATGCCACTCAGAAACCCCAACACCTCACCACCTTAAGATGCCTGCTTTTCTTGGATTGAGTGCCAAGGATAACTTGGAGGTGAGAGAGAGTTTGCTGTGTGCCTTTGACCTTGTCTCTTAGCATGTTAGCTAATTATAATTTCATAATTATAATATACATGGTAATCTCCTTTCGAAATGGCCCTAAATTTGCACTCCAACCATTCTGAAAAGTACCCCACCCCACAGTCTGGGTGCTAACCTCAGGGCCCCACAGGACTAGAGCTCAGATTTTACACGGTGCCTGGGTCCAGGAAGATGGCACATGGCCAAGTGCACATGACAGGCTGCAGAACCCTAACACTCCAGCGGAAGGCTCTGCTCACTCAGAGATTCGACAGATGCTTCTTTATAGGGGAAGGAAGGGTCCAGAACAAATCTGGCTTGTATGTGTGTCTATATGTTTGCAGTGTGCAGTGTTTTACACCAATGAAATCTAACGTCTGAGGTGTGTGCCATTCTGCAACTTATTTTTTCAAGTGAACCATGTGCCTTGGAATCTCTCTGTGTCAGAACAAATCTACCTCATTTCTTCTCAATCCAGCAAAGCATTTCCCTACACAGCTGCCTCCCTTGCTCCTGTATTGACTTGCTTGTGGATATTTTGGGTGTCTAGAGCTTTTTTACTTTTATAAACCATGTAGCACTGAGCATTCCTGAACATATCTCTCTGCACACATATGTAAATGTGTTTGCACAGCAGGTGCCTAGAAGTGAAATTGTGGGGTTCTAGGGAATATGTGTGCTGATGATTTTGACTTATATGGACCAATATTGTCAAAGGACACCCCGAAGAGGCTGCACAAAGTGAGGTCTCAGCTAGAAGAAAGTGCATGTTTCTTCCCAGCCTGATCAACGGAAATATTATGCAACTATTTAAAAGGCATAATGGGTGAAAAATTGTGTCTATCTCATTGTTGCTTTAATTCATATTGCTTTAATTATGAATAATCCTGGCAATTTTTCATATGTTTATTGATCTTTTATATTTCTTTCCTGTGAACTGTCTGCTGGAGGGCTTGGATCTTTATTAAAATAAGAGCTATGTTATTACCAGAAAAGAATAAGACAAAAGCTCTCTCTCCTTTCAAGCTAAGGATCTCCAAAGGAAACATATCATCTTTTTTCTCTAAAGGTGATTGTGAGCACAGAGCCTCCACGGGATACCAAACAAATCCAGTTAATTACAAGCACGCTTTTGCTGAAACCTACAGGGCATCCAGCCACCCATGGAGCAGGTGTCCAACGCAGGCTGCTCTCTGTCTACCTTCCCACCTACCCTTATGTCTATCTGTCTTCCCTGCCTGCCCCCAGCCAGACTGATCACCTGCCTCCACCAGTGCCCTCCAAACAGTAGCTTCTTCCAGCTGTTCAGTCAGCTGAGCACTCTGCTCCAATTCACAGCGGCTCAGGATCACAGCTCTGTCTGCTCCCCACTCCGGCCTCCCTTTCAAGCAGCAGCAGGAGATGGCAGGAACCCAGCCTAAAGCCAGTACATCTGTGAGTGACTCATAGTCTTGCCACTGGGGCATCTTAGGCAAGTTACTTCACCTGCTTGGACCCTCAGTTTCACATCATCACATGGAAGATTGAGCTATAAAACAGTTTCAGGGAGATGCGTTGGGCACTACCTGGGCTTCAAGGCAGACTCTAGCTTTTATTCATCCAGAGCAGTTCTACTCTTACAACTTTCTTATACTGGGGCTTTTTGTAAGAGGTCATTCAAGCCAAATGTCTTGAAGGAAAGTAAAAAAGCCATTGTATGCAATGACTTCTTATCTCCCAGCCCTTCTCAGAGCTCAGTCTCAGGCAGCTACAGCACAAACCCAAGCAAATGGGTGCACCCGGATCTTCCAGGAAACTGAGAACTTCCTCTTGGCTTGTTAATGAGCCTTATGGACCTGTAAACAATTCTGCTTCCTGCTCCTGGAAGCAGCTGGTACTGAGATCATCCCTGGAGCCCCAAAGCTCTCCCTAGCCAGAGAGGAAGGGGAAAGGGGACTAGCAGAATCTTGCATCTCTCCCTCCTCTCCTTAAAGAGGCAGGAAGGACAGACAGAAAGACACAGGATTAAACTGCAGGGACTATAGCTGGCCCATGGAAGGAAGGCCACCCTGTGAGCAGAGAGAGGGAAATAAAAAGTAGCAGGGCCTCCTGGGGCAGCCTTTAGGACCCACGCCCCATGGGGATAGGGCCATCTCAATTTCCAGCTTTCTGTCTTGAATCAAGATTGACTGTGTGCTGGATACCGGAGATGGAGATGAGGTCTCTGTCCTCACCAAGTTCATGCTCTAGTGAGCAGAGAGAATCAAATGGACAGGAAGGAAGTCCATCTGTCTGTAGGGACAGTAGCAGGAAGTTGTTTGTGTGGTGGCTATGCCCTTAACCCTGCTACATTCTGCCTGACTGGGAGTGTGGTGAGTGCTCACTAGAGCTTGGCAAACCTAAGACGGAGGGGACCCAGTCCTCCAGGCTTAGGGGTCCAGAGGCCATACTGCTGTGCCTCTGGGTCCCTTCAGAACAGCACATCAAGGTTTCCCCTGGGAAAGAAAGGCTCCCTCAGCAGCTCAGGTGGAGCTGCAAAGAGCTCAGGGTAATTGTTGTTGGTTGACTGCCCTAGGGACAACTCAGAACCACCCTGCATGTGACAAAGAGCAGCACCCAGAAACAGGGGAAGCTCACCTCCTAGTGAAGCTAGCTGCTGTCACAGCCTGCTCCTTCTTTGGCCTTCTCCTTTTGTCTTCCCTGGCCCAAGAAATCCTTCCCCCAAAAGCTGGCAGCAGGTTCAGAGACCCAGAGGGTTTCACCCTGTCCCCCAGCTGAGA